GTGCTGCTGAATATGATGTTTCACCGCATAAATTAATAGAAACACATTCTGAAACAACATATTCACTGAGATATGTTTTTCTGAAAAGTAACTTAAATACATGCTGTGGTAAAACAAGACACCCACATCTGACATTGACCCAACTTTTGTTGAACAGTATATGTCGTCCTCGCCCAAAGATCCAGTGAAAAGTACAACTGATAAAACAGCACATAAAAATGTAAACATTTCATTGCTGCTGTTCCATCTCCTCAGTGGGAGGGATGACTAAATGCAGAGCCTAAACATTCACTTGCCTACAACCATCTCTAATCCTCTGCTGATTTCTCACTTCACACGTCTTGTTGTCTCAGTGCAGTCTCTGCAGCACTGAGTAGATGTTTGTTAGAAACTCAAGTCGAAACAGAAAGGCCTCCAAGGATCACACAAAAATAATAAAATACTAAAAGTATATTTGCTTCTGGTGCTGTGAAAACCAGGTATCATAAGTATCAGCTCTTTAGAAAAAGTTGACAGACCTTGATATTTAGCTTAAAGGAGCTATTGGTAAGTTTTGCTATAGCTACACAGCCAACATTAGCATTGGCACAGCTGTTTACTTGCAAGACTAGAAGAAACGTTGTGAGTTCAGCAGAAGACTTTATTCCTTTACTCACCAACAGCTGTCTGCAGAGGTGGAAAGGAACACCAGTGTTAACTAACTAATGCTAACCAGCTAGCCCCGGCCTGCCTCGTCACTTTCTGATGGCGACTCACTGTAGCCTCCAATCGGCCCTGAAGACATAGCGCTGCTCAGTATTATAACCTCTTGTCTTGTAAATGCAACGATGGCTGAAGCTCTTGTCAAGTGACAGTCACCGCTACCACTACCTGTAGCCCCTTTTAATAACATGTTTGAAACCTTTTTGAACTTGATTTTGACAAATAGGCCGAAAAATTGAATTCCCTAACCTGAGGCGAATGTAGTCACACTTAGGCATACTGTATGAAGTTGAATGTCGATTTAATGCCTTGCAGTTAGCCTGTATGTTAAGTCCTCTTTCATTTCACCATGTACATCAGTAGAGCTGCAACTAATGATTATTTTCCTCATAGATTATCTGAGGATTCATTTTTTTGATTATTCAATAACTCATTTTGTCATGGTGACAAGGTGATATCTGAAGATCCAAAAATATTCAGTTTACTTTCATGTACAACAAAGAATCAAATCCTCCAGTTTAGCAATTTTGTTTTAATAAGAAACATTTAATAAATGGTTTCTAACACATAATGTAGCTGTAAGCAGGTGTAAAGGCATTTTAAGTAATAATTGATGCCTTTAGTTGCAAAACATTGACAATGGTTTTAGCCTGAGTCATTTATAAATAAAATGTTACAGGTCCTTTTAAACTCTGTGCACCGGTGTCACCTCCACAGATTCCCGTCCATTAGCTGTGTTTGGGAGTGAAAGTGAACCTGACCTGAGAGACCTCCAGCCCGCAGTGGCGGTGACAGTCCTTTCAGCTGCTCTGCATTGTTGATGTCCTCCGACCTCTGGGGGGGAAACGGCAGCGTTTGAGACTGACTCAGAGTGTCTTTGTTGTTGTAGTATCACGTTGTACCAGTCTGCAGTGTCAGCGAGCAGTCACCCTGCAGGCAGTCATCAACCGCAGCTAATGCAAGCTCCTTTTCTCTGTTTTACCTGAGAGAAGCACATCAGGTGGTCAAAGGGACACACCGTCCCTCTGGGCTTCACTCCTCTGAAAGTGGGTTTACAGATTCATACCACCACAGCTGCGTGACGCCCGTGTCTCCAGTGTCTGCTGAGTGTTGTGTGTTGTTGTGTGTCAGTGTTGGAAGTATCAAAGCAAACTTGCAAATCACCCTTCACCGCCGCAGCTTGGCGATGGTGGTGTGAAAGAGGACGCGTCTGTAGGCAGATCTGCTGAAGTGTTTGAACTTCTCCCGACTTCTCCACCAGCACTGAAGGTTGTCTTTCAGCTCTCCTCTCTCGCTCCATGCCGGGTCAGTTTAGTAAAATTCATTTTCTATCTCACATTAGTGATGGTAACTGCAGTGTGTCTGCAGGGGAAATGAAACATATAGTCGTCACTGTGTTGCTATGGTAACATCAACAGAGGCAGTCACATCCTCTAGTTGGTTTCAGTGATGTTCTCTGAATGTTTGATTAGGTATTATACATTCACTTTATAGGTTATTCCAACATTCAGATTTTATTATTTGAACCATTTTCATCCGATTTCTCCTTTTGATTCTTCTCTTCTTATTCTTAGCTTCATGTTTTTTGTATTTTACTGTGGCAATATTGTTACCTTGGATTCTCTGTTTCTCATTTATTGTGGCACTGATCTCTGATCAGCCATGGTTATTGCTGCTTGTCCCCACAAACCAAGCAACAAGCCAAGGCAACTTTAATTATATACTGCAGCACATTTCATTCACAGTGCAAAGCAGGTTACATAAAAGAATAAAAATAAAATAATGAGAACAATTAATAACAGTTAAAAAAATAAATAGGTAAGCAAGATAGGCAAGGCAAGTTTATTTAAATAGCAACTTTAAACAACAAAACAAATCAAAGTGCTTTACAATATAAAAAGGCATTAACACAAGATAAGAAACACAAGGCAATATAAGAAGACATATCAGTAAGATTAGAAAGGAATAAAATAGAAGGTAAAAATGAGCTAAAATTGAACAGAACAGACAAAAGAGGAAAGTATAATACAGTGTGAGATGTGATTAATAGCCCCACATTTACTAAGGTACAGCAGAAAACAGAAACATTTTAGGCCTCAAGTGAAAAGAAATGCAAGTTGCAGCAAAACCAGAGTGGAGAGAAACAGGCAACAGTGAAGGAGTAGGTTTCACGTTGAGATTTAAACATGGTCAGATATGGACAATGCCCAAGATCATCAGACAGGTCATCCTAAGTACTGTATATGACACATAATAGCAAAATGCAACAGTCATCAGACCCAGGTCACATGAGCTAAGTTTTCTTGAAGGTTCATGAGGAGAAAGCAGGTCAGAAATGTACTGTCATTTCAGGGTTTTGAAGTCAGTTAACTCACTCACTGGTGATCAGTGCAGAGACTTGGCAGTGGTTGTAGTGTGTTCATATGTCTTTGAGTGGCTCTTCCAGGGATGGCAATGTCAGCCAGATGGCCAGTCCACCACTTTGCTCATCCTCTGACTTATTTAGTAAAATATCCCAACACTTGCTGGATCGATTGGCACAAAACGGTGACGGTGCCTGGGTGATGTATTTAAATAACTTTACCTCTTGTGCCACAATGTGGTTGACAATTTTGTTTTTTAATAAAAGTCCTCAGTAACTATTGGATTGGTTGTTATGAAATTTGGTGCAGCCGTTCATCTTCCATGAAAAATTGTAATAACTTTCCATTTTGATTTGTTCAAACTGAAGTCGTTCAAGCATACTATAATGTTAGTATGCTTACATGCTAAACTAGGATGGTGAACATGGTTAAGTTTATACCTGCATCATATGCCTGTAAGCATGTTAGAATGCTGATGTTAGCATGTAGCTCAAAGCACTGCTGTGTCAGTCCAACCTCACAGAGCAGTTAGCACGGCTGTAGACTGTTGTTGATAAAACTCTGGCAGCTGCATTGCAATAAGCTGATAAAAGACTGTCGGAATAACCTACGTGAGGTGAATATATGGATCAGCTTTTTGTTTTCTCTTGTTTTGTTCGACTTAATAGTTTTTCATGCTCTGAATATATTCAAAATCACCGAGTCAAACTCTTGACATTTCTTTATATGAAAATGTCACAGATGAATATTTGCTAGATAAGAGGATAATGTGGTTGAATATAAAATGATTTGATTCAGCTCAAATTTTTTTCATCAACGAGGAACAACAAAGAATAAAGTACAATCATCAGCTGAAAGCAGATAATTATCATCTGTAATAGAACATCTGCTTATTGAGCTCTTCTCCCTCTGACTCTCAGACGGTCTAGACGTGTGAGCATCGCTCTGATTACCTTATTGATACAGAAGCTGAATGATTTCAGCAATGACTTTTTTCTTTAATGTGTGAAATTACTTTTCCTATCAGTCTCATTCAAACTCTAATGCATGTTATCTGCTGATAATCCTTCTTTATAAATTTGACAGCGTATCAGGCTGAGAGTGATTGACATCAGAGGTCTTTCATGGAAAACACATGTTGACAGCCCAGATCCTAAAAAGATAGTATAGCACTGCAAACTCATGGGATGCACTGAAGATCCCGGTGGATGGTGGAGTCACTGAGATCCCCCTATTATTAGACCTCTCTAATATTAGAGCCTGCATCTGTGCTGAAACAAAGGGGAATTAAAAGCTTAACATCACCTCCGAGTGGAATGAAGTGTTGATGCGTAATTATGTTGAATATGCACAAGGATGTATGAAAATGTGCTTCACAGTCAAATACATTTTGTGATATTTCCCTTATTTTTGGGTGTGCATTTCTATGCATTAGTGTTTTCACTCACATAATTGTTTTGTCTCTTAATTCTTGGCCTATAATGTAAAAATCTGACTGTTTTTCAGCCTGCAAATCACTGCAAGTGGTATATGTTTCTGTCCATTGCCAGAAGTCATGTAATTTGTGTGTGTTGTGCTTATAGCTTTAATTTTAAACTTCACCCAGCAGACATCAGTGACCTATTTCCTTTTCTAACTTTTGTTCTTGTGTTGATGTACAAGTGGGTTGCCTGCCTCTATATAGTGATTGCCCCACATATGATGCAGAATGCAGTATAGTAAATCTCCCTGACTCAAAGAGGTTTTCCAGATCAGGTCTGGATGGCATCCAGTAGGATGTGTTCTGGCCAGACAGCTGAGCGTCTGGCAAGAGTGTCGGTCAACTTGTTTACCTGACCCAACCTTTATGCCTTGATGAGTTTGGATCTTGCGCTTCAATGCCTCTACGTGAAAGAAGGTAGTTACCACAATGTTTTTTAATTTATTCTCCTACAGGACAAAGGACTCTCCACCACAGAAGTGATGTCCTAGAGACTGTGGTGCTTGTCAACCCTTCAGAAGACACCGTTGTATCAGAGGTAAGTCAACATATTCTGAGGTACGGTACCCTTCTGGTTGCATGTATGTGGCAATAGTATGAGATATATATATATATATACATATATAGTTAAATAAATGACCTGTCAATTCCCTATAAGGCTGCATGTTTAATTGTAATACCATTGCTAATAGTTTTGCTAATGATACTAAAATAATTTTTTTCTCTAACTCAGCCAATGCACGATTTCTATGCTCTAATTTTTTTTTTTTTTTAACACAAACATTTTTGACAAGGATCCTGTGACCAAGATACTGTTCTGTACTGAGTGGCATTTCAGTGTTGTTAATTTATGCCAATACCAGTTATAAGCTTATATTGGCCAAAAATAATGAGCTGGGCTCTGCTTTATTCAGAAACCTTGCTTTGAGGTTTTTCTACAAAACCTTTATTGTACAACGTTACCTGAATAAAATACAGTCTAAATTTGTCATAGTTATGATTTAAATCAGAATCCGTCTGATCAAAGAAAACTAGATTATGAATCTAGCCAGGCTTTTGATACCACCTTTTGGTACTTGACAGTTTTTAATACCCAGTCAGTAGTAGTAGTATTGAGATTAGATCTGCAGTCCTATTTTCTATTAGCTATTCATCCCCAGAACCACCTTCATTTGGGAAGTAAGAAAAAGACTTCTGTGTTTATTTTTAGTTTGAATTTTTTGGTGTTAAATCTTGGTAACTTTGACACAGTTTAAAGTGCATCTTCTTTTGTCAGTGACACAGGTATTTGTCTTCTATATTGGCAGTGTTATCTCTCCTTTAACTGTCCTCTGTCTCCCTCTCTCTCTCTCTCTCTACCTTTCTGTGTGTGTGTCTCTGCCCCAGATCCAGTCTCTAGTCACAGACTCAGCAGGACACAAGCTTCTGGTCTTGAGCGGCCAGAGCTCAGATCACGGTGGCCTTCTTCTTCAAACTGGGGTTTTCACCTACCAGACCTTTTCACGTGTCTTTACTGATCCCGGGGTGAGTCAAATCTGTGGTGGTCTAACACTTAACAATATAACAATATGATGAATATTATACACTGTACATTCATACTATATACATGTGTGTGGTTTAAAATAGCTTCATGTGAAAGAAGAGGTACAGGCTTTGATACATGTTAGGAATTTGTTGTTCCATAGAAGGAGGAGGACTGCACAGCGACTCGCTCTTGTTCTTTATCAAAACAGCGTGATGTTGAATCACATCCCAGTGTTTCAGGTTACACCTTCATCCAAGGCCAAGCAGGAATAATAAGCAGAAAACCACTTTGTATACATTCTCAATCACTATAAGCAGGCTGGTAATCTGGATCTACTGCAAGAAGCACTTTGGATATATAAACACACCAATGTCACATGAACTGAATGAAAATCTAGATTTAAGGTGTTTTCTTACAAATTGAGTTTGTCTTTATATATTTTGACAAGTATGGGACATCTTGAGGTTTTGTTATTTTTTTATTTGACCACAAGATGGAGCCATAATGAGAAAACCAAATGAGGAGAACAATGCAGGTGACATGTAATTATCATATCAGATACTTTGCACTATGTTTAAGAATGTATATAATGTGGTTTTCTGCTTATTACTGCTGTTTGGCCCCTGATGAAGGTGTAAACCGAAACCTTGGGCTTTGATTCAAAATTTTGCTGTTTGAATAAAGAAGAAGAGCAACTCTGTGTGCAGCCCTCCTCCTTTAAACTGTCAAGACATTGATCAAGGCCTCCAGAACCAGCACAATTGAAATGGGGTTTAGGTGCTTCTTCACTTAATGTTTGTTGGTCCACAGACAAGTAGAAACTAGTTTGTCTAGAAATGCACAGTGTCCAAAAACCCGCACAAAGGATGACAGAGGGGAGTATTCATGCTGATTATTTTCTTCTTAAAAATAAATTTTAAAATATCCTTTGATACAAACATTGTCTCTATGACTACTGCAACAAATGATTTTATTGTTTTCTTGTATATCTTTACAACACAAGTTTATAACATTTATGCATGACTGACTGATGTGTCTGGGTGTCTCACCTGCAGGTCAGTGAATTACTGGGCACAACAGCCCCCAAGCAGCAGGCTACACTTACTGTGTCCTGCCGCGGGGAGGTGGGCTGGAGCTCCCTGGGACAGCAGCAGACCCTACGGGAGTTCCTGGAATACAGACTAAACCCTGAACCTGTTCTCCGCAAGATGGAGGGCGTCACCGAGTTCACAGAGTACATCTCTGAGACGGTTGACGTCCCTTCACCTTTTGACCTCCTGGAGCCTCCCACATCCGGAGGCTTCCTGAAACTGTCCAAGCCATGTTGCTACATCTTTCCTGGTGGACGAGGAGACTCAGCTCTCTTCGCTGTGAATGGCTTCAACATCTTAGTGGATGGAGGCTCTGAACGAAAATCCTGTTTCTGGAAGCTTGTCCGTCACTTGGACCGCATTGACTCAATTCTACTAACACACATCGGCGCTGACAATCTCCCAGGTATCAATGGGCTTCTTCAGAGGAAGATAGCAGAACAGGAGGAGGAGCAGTCTCAAGGCTCCACCAACTATAGCGACTGGATGAAGAATCTGATATCCCCTGAACTGGGTGTAGTCTTCTTCAATGTACCAGAGAAGCTCCGTATGCCAGAATCTAATCTCAAAGTGAAACGCAGCATCGAAGAGGCCTCGCTTACTCTGCAGTACCTTAACAAACTAGGAATCAAACCAGAGCCTCTCTTTCGAGTGGTCAGCAACACTATTGAGCCCATAACTCTGTTCCACAAGATGGGAGTGGGCAGGTTAGACATGTATATTCTCAACCCCGTCAAAGACAGTAAAGAGATGCAATTTTTAATGCAGAAGTGGGCTGGCAACAGCAAGGCCAAAACTGGCATTGTGCTGCCCAACGGGAAAGAAGGAGAAATATCTGTGCCCTACCTGACATCAGTTACAGCCTTAGTCGTCTGGCTCCCTGCCAACCCTGCAGAAAAGATCGTCAGAGTGCTGTTCCCTGGAAATGCACCACAAAACAAGATCCTGGAGGGGCTAGAAAAATTAAAGCACCTTGACTTCTTGCGCTATCCTGTAGCCACACAAAAGGACATTGCCTCAGGAGCTCCTCCCTCTGTCATTAAACAAACCAAGTTAAAACAAAGAACAGATAGTAAAGAGAGTCTTAAATCCTCCCCTAAGACTACTGCAAAGACAACAAAGAAAGAAAGTGAGGGACAAGATGATGTGTCAGCTGCCACAGAGGCTAAGAGTGACTCTGTGAAAGAAAATATATCAGAGAAAAAAGAGGAGAAAAAGCCGACCAAGACCATAAAATCTAAAACTGATGTGCCAGAAAAGAAAAAACTCTTGAAAGAAAAATCCTTAAAAAAGCACTCGAAGGAAAGGGTGTCAAAAATGGATGAGAAAAAGGACAAGGAAAAGAAAGAGATCAAGAAAGTAAAGAAAGATGACTCTGCTAAAAAAGATGAGAAGAAAGATGTTAAATCCAAAGAGGACAAAAAGAAGGACACATCCAAACCTGAGCTGAGAAAAATCACAAAGCCTGACCTAAAACCACTGACACCAGAGGTCAGAAAGACATTACATAAAGCTAAAGTGTCAAGTAAAGCCAAAACTGGAAAAATCAAAGCAGCAAAGGCTGAACCCAAACCAGAGGAGCCAAAAAAAGTTATTCAACCAGAACCGATCGAGAATGGAGCCGTTGAGGGCACGTCTGCTCCCTCCACACCTGAAGACCTCACCAAGGATTTTGAAGAACTAAAAAAAGCTGAGGTTGTAGCTGTATCAGCAGAACCACCAGACAGTGCTGAAGTTTCACTCGAGCCTCCAGCACAAGAGAAGGAGGAGGAGGCGGAAGAAGAAACTCCTGAAATTCCAGCTGTCACAGAGTCTCCTGAAAAGGAGGTAACACCCCCAGAGGTGAAAGATGAAGACAAAGACAAGGAATCGACACAAGACAGAGAATTAGAAGAGGCCCAAAAGTTTGAGGATGAGGGAGCAGCAACTCAGGATGAGGAAGAGGAGGAAGAAGAGGCCCCAGCTGCTGAAAAGAAAACAGAAGCGGAGGAGGAAGAAGAGGATATGGGAATAGGTGAAGAGGAAGATGAATCAAAATGGAAGGAGGCAAAGGATTATGGGCTTGATAGAAAACATGAGATAGAAGAAATGGAGAAATCGGGAACTCTCTCAGCTAAGGTTGTGACAAAAGAGGAGCTACAAATGACTCCGTCCATGGAGGAGCAAGAGGAAGAAGAGGAGGAGGAGGCCGTGGAAAAAGCTGAACTGGAAGAGGTTGAAGATTTAGATGTAATAGCAGATGAAGAGATCAAAGTCAAACCTGAAGATGCTGTTGAAGAACAATTGGTCTCTGAAAGCCAAACTGCTGAAATCTTGACTACAGCTAAATATGAGGAAGAAGAGGAGGAAGGCTACCTGTCACATGTTGGAGGTGCCACAGCTCCCATAACCTCAGTAGCTCAAGGGGCCGCTGCAGCTGAGCCAGTCTCCTATATCCAAGACGAAACCATACCTGGTTACTCTGAGACAGAACAGACTATCTCTGACGAAGAGATCCATGAAGAGGCAGAAGAGAGGATACCACACCTTCAATATGATGTTGGTGCCTACGACATCTCTGTTCCAGACCAGACTGAATCATTTGTAAACATTCACGGCATGCGGGAGATGCAAGCTGCAGCAATGACCGAGAAAGGGTTTATTCCAGCTGTGCAGGAGCAAGTATCTGTGTTCACCAACATCATCACTGCTCCTCTGGCAGAAGAGGAACATGTGTCTTCTGCAACATCCATCACAGAGTATGACAAAATGTCCTCCTTCCCTACTTCTATTGCTGAAGATCAATCTGTGGCATCCGTCACAGCACCTCAGGCTGAGGAACCACCCAAAACTCCTGTTCCCCTGCCAACCCCACCGGACGCTTCACAAGGCAAAGAGCTTCCACTCTCTGCAGGAACTCTTTCACCGCCTTCTTTAGAAGATGACAAACAAATCAAGTCTCCATCGGATGAGGTACAGCTTCCTGTTACAGAAGTGAAGACGGAGGCTAAAGCTCCTGTTGCTCACAATGTGGAGGAAGAAGAAGAAGAGGAGGAAGAAGACCAAACTCCTAATGTTGACATTTCACTTGAGAAACTCCAAGAAAGCTATGCTTCATCCCAAATATTACAAGATAAAGAGAGAGACATCGAAAAGCTTGCTAGCTCAGTGTCTCCTGTTTCAACGTCTATACCAGACACCAAACCAGTCCACCTGCCAGTTGAAGAGGAAAATATAGATGCAGTTGCACCTAAAGATATTTCATCTGTTGTGCCTACCAGACCTTTTGGATCAGACTCAGTAACTTCAGAGAGTGAGGAGCGTTGCTTCAGTCCGGATGATATCACTGTGAAGATGGCCTCCCCTCCACAGTCTGGACCCTCAAGTGCAGCTCACTCTCCAATTCGTCAGTCACCAGTGGAAGACAAGATGAAGGTTTTCCCTGATTTGGAGTTGCAAAAGCAAGAGGAGCTCCCTGATGTCGTCACTAAAACTGAAGACAAAACCACAAAGAAAGATGAAGCAGCTGAGACACAAAAAGATGTGGACAGACAGGAAGCAGATCAGCATGAAGTAGCCGTTGCAACATCTTTGGACAAAACATTTGAAAAGGACATCAAAGAGGTTCCAGTGATGAAGGAGCCAGAAAAAGACATTTCACTAGTGCCAAAAGATGAAGACAAACAGGCAGAAACAGTCCCTGTTGTTGCTGCATCTTTAACGGACGTTCAGTCACCCATGTCAGGGAGGGATTCCCCCATCTCATCTGGACAACGTGATGAAGATGGTGACGTTGGGCTCAAAGATAAAGAACCTAAAGTGCCTGTTGCAGGTAAATTTACAGAGAGGGAGAGTCGTTTCTTAGATGATGACGATGATGAGAACAAGAAAGACGATGATGACGGTCATGATGATAAATCTGCAGTTGAAATCGTCAAGGCGGAACTGGAGAAAGAAAAGGATGACACCTCTGATGTCAAACAAATCAAGGACGAGCAGAAACAGGAATCTGTCATTGTAGAAGACATTTCTGCAATCAAGTCCATCGTGGATGAGAAAGAGGCGGTAAAGGATGATACCTCCGATATTAAACCTGTCAAAGAAGAGCAAATTGCAAAGGACACGGTCATCAGTACAGATGAACAAAAAGAGCCTGAAAAAGACCACACTCCTGAAGTCAAAACTACTAAAGAGGCAGAGATAGATTTTGTTGCTTCTGAGGCCATCAAAGACGAGCAGAAGCAGGAAGATACAAAACAAGATGATGATTTTGACCTCAAAGCCAAAGGTGAAGTAAAGGAGACGGAAGTTAAGAAGGATGATGTGTCTGATAGCAAGATTTTGAAAGAGGATGAGAAAAAAGAGACAGAAAAGGTTGATACGTTTGATATTAGCTCAATAAAGACTGAAGAGAAAGAGATCAAAAAGGTCCAAGATGCAGATATCAAACCTTTTAAAGAGGAGAAGAAAGAGGAAGAAAAGGTTGATACTTTTGATATTAGCCCTATAAAGACTGAAGAGAAAGAGATTGAAAAGGTCCATGCCACAGATATCGAGCCTGCTAAAGAGGAGGAGAAGAAAGAAACAGAAAAGGTTGATACTTTTGATATTAGCCCTATAAAGACTGAAGAAAAAGAGGTCGAAAAGGTCCAAGATGCAGATATCAAGCCTGTTAAAGAGGAGAAGAAAGAAGAAGAAAAGGTTGATACTATTGATATTAGCCCTATAAAGACTGAAGAGAAAGAGGTCGAAAAGGTCCAAGATGCAGATATCAAGCCTGTTAAAGAAGAGATGGAGAAAGAGGCAAAGAAGGACGATATGGCCATTATTGAGCCAACTAAAGATGAGGAGAGGACAAAAGAGACAGAAATATCTGACATCAAAGTGATTGAAGATAAGAAAGAGGAGGAAGAGATGAAGATAGATGTTTCTGCTACCAAGCCCTTCACAGATGAGCAGAAGGAAAAGGAGAAAGAGGTGGGTGAAATCACTGTTGCCGAACTCACCAAAGAAGAAGAAATTATTGGTAAAGATGATACATCTGCTGTTACCATGAAAGAAGAAAAAGGGCAAGAGATTTGTAAAGATGTTATCTCAACCATCAGCCTCACCACGGTGGAGGAAAAGGATGCAACAGAGAGTAAAGACGAGATTCTTGTTGCCAAGCCAACCACAGATCAAGAGACAGAGGAAGAGACAAGTAAAGATGATAGCTTGGACACCAAACTTTCCAAGGAGCAGGAAAAAGATATGACAGCAAGCAAGGATGATGCTCTGGCCTTCAAACCTACAACAGAAGAAGAAAAGAAGGATGACATAAGTAAAGATGATACTGCTGCTATAAAACTTACCAAAGAAGAGGAAAAAGATGAACTGCCAAGCAAGGAAGATACTTCTCCTGTTAAACCAGTTGGAGAAGAAAAGGAAGAACAGGAAAGTAAAGATGATACTGTGACCACCAAGCTTACTAAGATGGAGGAAGAGCATGTACTAGTATGTAAAGATGATGATTCCTCTGCCACAACAACTAAGCTAGAAGCGAAAGAAACACTTAAGGATGCTGCCAAACCAGTCATGGAAGAAGAAAAAGAGCAAGAGACAAGTAAAGATAAAGATGTCACCTCTCCTGTCAAACCTGCTATGATGGAGGAAGAAGATGTAATAATTTCCACTGTCAAAACATCCAAGGACGAAACAAGTACAAAGGTTGACATCTTTGTTGCTAAACCCACCATGCAAGATGAAAAAGAGAAAGATATCAGTAAAGACATTTGTGCTGTCAAATCAATAGAAGAAGAAAAGGAGAAAGCAGTGGATGAGGAGGACAGCTTAACTGTCAAACCATCTGAGGAAGAAGAAGTGACAATGCAGGATCACAGTTCTGATATCAAACCTGTAAAGGAGGAAAAAGATACAGTAACAATTCAGGAAGAAACATCTGATATCAAACCTGTAAAAGATGAAAAAGATACAGTAACAATTCAAGATCACAGTGCTGATATCAAACCTGTAAAGGAGGAAAAAGATACAGTGACAATTCAGGAAGAAGTGTCTGATATCAAACCTGTAAAGGAGGAAAAAGATACAGTAACAATTCAGGAAGAAACATCTGATATCGAACCTGTAATGGAGGAAAAAGATACAGTAACAATTCAGGAAGAAACATCTGATATCGAACCTGTAATGGAGGAAAAAGATACAGACGCAATTAAGGAAGAAGTGTCTGATATCTAACCTGTAAAGGAGGAAAAGGATACAGTGACAATTAAGGAGGAAACTTCTGATATCAAACCTGTAAAAGAGGAAAAAGATCCAGACGCAATTAAGGAAGAAGTGTCTGATATCTAACCTGTAAAGGAGGAAAAAGATACAGACGCAATTAAGGAAGAAACTTCTGATATCAAACCCGTAAAGGAGGAAAAAGATACAGTAACAATTCAGGAAGAAACTTCTGATATCAAACCTGTAAAAGAGGAAAAAGATACAGACGCAATTAAGGAAGAAGTGTCTGATATCAAACCTGTAAAGGAGGAAAAGGATACAGTGACAATTAAGGAGGAAACTTCTGATATCAAACCTGTAAAGGAGGAAAAAGATACAGACACAATTAAGGAAGAAACTTCTGATATCAAACCTGTAAAGGTGGAAAAAGATACAGACACAATTAAGGAGGAAGTGTCTGATATCAAACCTGTAAAGGAGGAAAAAGATACAGTAACAATTCAGGAAGAAGTGTCTGATATCAAACCTGTAAAGGAGGAAAAAGATACAGTAACAATTCAGGAAGAAGTGTCTGATATCAAACCTGTAAAGGAGGAAAAAGATACAGTAACAATTCAGGAAGAAGTGTCTGATATCAAACCTGTAAAGGAGGAAAAAGATACAGTAACAATTCAGGAAGAAGTGTCTGATATCAAACCTGTAAAGGAGGAAAAAGATACAGTAACAATTAAGGAAGAAACTTCTGATATTGAACCTGTCAAGGAGGAAAAAGATACAGTAACAATTAAGGAAGAAACATCTGATATCAAACCTGTAAAGGAGGAAAAAGATACAGTAACAATTCAAGATCACAGTGCTGATATCACACCTGTAAAGGTGGAAAAAGATACTGACACAATTAAGGAAGAAGTGTCTGATATCAAACTTGTAAAGGAGGAAAAAGATACTGACACAATTAAGGAAGAAGTGTCTGATATCAAGCCTGTAAAGGAGGAAAAAGATACTGACACAATTAAGGAAGAAGTGTCTGATATCAAGCCTGTAAAGGAGGAAAAAGATACTGACACAATTAAGGAAGAAGTGTCTGATATCAAGCCTGTAAAGGAGGAAAAAGATACAGTAACAATTAAGGAAGAAACTTCTGATATCAAACCTCTAAAGGAAGAAAAAGATACAGTAACAATTAAGGAAGAAGTGTCTGATATCAAACCTGTAAAGGAGGAAAAAGATACAGTGACAATTAAGGAGGAAACTTCTGATATCAAGCCTGTAAAGGAGGAAAAAGATACAGTAACAATTAAGGAAGAAGTGTCTGATATCAAACCTGTAAAGGAGGAAAAAGATACAGTAACAATTAAGGAAGAAACTTCTGATGTCAAACCTGTAAAGGAGGAAAAAGATACAGACGCAATTAAGGAAGAAACTTCTGATGTCAAACCTGTAAAGGAGGAAAGCAAAGACATTGCTGGTCTAAAACCCCTCACAGATGAGGAGAAGAAGACAGAGTTGAAAGAAGTTACATCTGAAGCAAAACTCATCAAGGAGGCAAAAGAAACACCAAAAGAGGAAACTCATGATACAGAGTCCAAGGTTAAAGAAGAGGAAATGGAAAAAGAAAAGAGTGATACCTCTGATCTTGTGTCCGTTAAGGAAAAGGACATTGTTGATACTTCTGTCAAAGATGACAAAGAGGTAAAAAAAACTGACATTTCTGACAAACAAATAAAAACAGAGAAGGTCGAAGAGCAGAAGGGTGACATCTCTGACCACAAATCCATTGTGGAGGAACTTAAGGATAAAGAAACTGAAAAGGATGACAAGAAGAAAGAGAAAGAAACAGATGTCACTGTTGAGCAACCTAAAGATGTGAAAGAGAAAGAGCCATCTAAAGTTGAAACCACCGAGGAGGAAATGAAAGATGCCATCAAACAGGACAGTTGTGACGCTGAATCTATCAAACGGGAGACAGAGAAGGAGATGGACACTCTAACATTTAGCACCAAAGATGAGGAAAAAGAGAAACATGATTTCCCTTTTGAGTTTGAACCCAAGACGGATGATAAAAAAGAGGAAGATCTTCCAATGGCTCAGTCCTTTGAAGAAGAGAAGACTAAAATGGATGATATCTGTGATAGCGATAAGCATATATATGAAGAAACTTCTGATAAACTTCCTGGAGCTCAAACAGAAAAGGACACTTTTGATGCTGCATCATTTGAAACGCAGCAAGACTCTTCTGTAACACCATCGAGTGACGACCTGAAACCAGCAAAAGATGACATTTCTGTGTCTCCCCATGACACCCAGGAGGAGAAAAAAGAACAAGATAAAGAAGCAAAGGTCATTATTAGTCAAGAAGAGAAGATGGAGAAAGAAAAAGATGATGCACATGTTGCTGAACTGAGCAAAGAACAGAAAATGGAGAAAGAACAAGAAAAAGAATACAGCTATGAGACTGAAGACATCAAAGATGAAAAGACCAAACCAGCAGAAGATGAAAAGATAATTAAAGAAAAGGATGTCTCTGAGAAAAAGGGAGATGAGATCACAGAGAAGGAAAAGTCTGACTCCTCTGATGCAGACCACACCAAAGAGGAGAAATGGGAGAGAGAGGAGTTACAGGAGAAAGACCAGGACAAAACCATTAAACAACTTGCACAGACAATATCAGGAGAAGCAGTGGCCCCCAAGTCAGATTTCAAGCCTGCATTTGTGGTTCAGTCCTCAGATGAAGACAGAGAAGATGACGAGGAGGAGGACATCTGTATGGGAGGAGCAGGCTCCAGACCTTTGTCGGTGGAGCCGAGAAAATCAGACCATGACATCTCTGCAGGTCTGCCTTTATCCGAAACTGCACAGAGAAGTGAACAAACTAAACCACCAATATCGGAACAGACCTCAATGATCATTCCTACACTTACAATGCAGGAGCCCTCTATTGATGAAGACTTCAAAGAGTCCGGCAAAGAAGAGTCCAGAATTTCACCTCAGGCAGACAAAGATGTTGTGAAAACAGATGCCACACCTGCACCTCTTGCCAAGCCAGAGCCGTCCGTTGACATTGTCACATCAAAAGAGGAGACGACCTCTATTCCAAAACAAGAACCAGCTTCTGATGTCCTGAGTTCTAAAGCAGAATCGGTGTTGGACTCAACTGAGAAAAAACCTGCTTTGTCAACATTATCAAGCACAGAAAGTCAAGCCAGGAGCTGTACACTTTCGAGCACTGAGAGCCAGTCCAGTGTGGAGGGACCACCACAACAAGAGAAGAAGATACCGTCTCAGACAAGCCCAGGAGTTATCGCCACAGAAAAGACAAAGCCAGAAGAGAAACCAGGTAAGGAAGCGGAGAGGGAGATGGAAGGAGAACGAGAGGTGGCTTCTCCAGGATTTTCACGGCCTTGCTCGTATTTTACATTGGACAAAGATTCAGAGGACGCTGGACACACTGATGCTGTAAAATCAGATGCTCCAAAAATGGACAGTGAAATAATGACCTCAGAGAAGGAGACAATCAGTGGAAGCCTACAAGACGAAAAACAAACATTTGGTGCGTCCAAGTATGATCCGTATGAAAAGCCCATCCCAAAAGATCATGACTCGGACTCTAGAGAAGAGAGTGAGGTTTCCTTAGGTTTTGATCACACCTCTGATATCGGTATTGATGATAACAGAAGAACCAGCCAGTCCGAAGCTGGAGGAGCCATGTTCCTCCTTGACGATCAATACAAAGAAGAGCCTTTATCCTTCAGCAGAGTTGACTACAGCCCGGTGTCCCTCACAGAGAGCGAAAGAAGCAGCCACCACAGTCGAAGTGCCTCTCCTAAATATGAAGACAGAGAGAAAGGCCAAGAGGAGGAGAGTGAGAGAGAAGAAAGACCAGTTACACCTTATGTTGACAAGAGCTTTTCACCTGTAGACATGCAAGACAACAAAATGTCCCAAGCTGCTGAGTCGTATTCTTTCACTCCTAAAGAGGACAAACCTGAGAAATCGGAGAAAGAGAAAGAAGACATGAAGGAAGGTGCTGTGGCAGCTGTTCAACCAGGGGCAACCGGAGAAAGTGATAAAGTTTCTACTGGCTCTGCCGTTCAATCAGCAGGTGCATCATTAAGACAAGAAACACCCTCTCCCTCATGGAGCCTATCAGATCTTGGCAAACAAGCGTCAGCCGCTCCTGCAGCTTTTGGAGAATTCACAGAGAAGAAAACGTCGGTAAAAGAGAGGGAAAAATCTGCTGAGTCGCTGAAAGACAAAATGGAGTCCTCTGACCATGAGGGTTCCCCCTCGGGTCGGCACTCACCTGCAGAAAAAGACATTTTACCTCAACAAGCATCACCTGTAGAGAGAGACGAAACATCAGCTGACTCAAGGACCGTCCCTGCCACCACATTTGTAGGGCATGAAATAGACGACAACGTTCTTGCCTCTGATAACAGTCAAATTAGCAGCTCTGCCACTTGTAAATCCATGTTAGACTTTCCTGAAGGAAAAGAGAGCCTGATAGATAAGAGGTTACTTGTAGAAGGGGAAGATTTCAATGTTGATGATGATGATGAAGACGAAGATGAGGATGAGGAGGAAGAAGAAGAGGAGGAGCTGAGCGATGTAGACATGGAAAAGGGTGCAAGAGAGCAGTCTGAAAAAGAAATGTGCCGACGTAGTCCTGATGATAGTGCTGACTTGGCAGAGGTAGAGGACTCAAATAAGAAAACTCAGTTGTCTGAATCAAGTTTCCTTAAAGAGGAAACGGTCTGTAAACCAACACCTGATGATGCCTCAGCATCTAAAGTCACAGATGCAGACAAGCAGGACGTAAGTAAACAACCTCCATCTCCTGACGCGAAACCACTCAAAGAAGAGGATACGACTGGTGAAACGGCTACAGCCAAACCTCCTGAGACAAAAAGTGAAGATGTAGGCAAAACAACTCCATCTCCAGACTTAAGTGCTCACAAAATGGACAAAATCTTTGTTGCTACAGCAGATGTCCCAAAACTTCCTGACACGAAGAAAACAGAAGATACAGACGAAAAGCATTTGTCCCCCGAACCAACCACAAAGAGAAGGTTGTCATCGGCAGAGGACACAACCTCCTCTGAGGTACTACAGCCAAAAGAAGGAGATGAAGACAAAGGGTCTCGATCTCCAAGCGTTTTGACAGAGGAAACTTATCAACCAACATCAACAAGCAGCTTGACAGGCAGCTCTTTGCCACCTGATCATTCAGAGCCCAAGCCTACATCTAGTCCCTCACCTCTGCTAGCAGGCAGCTACGCTGATATCGGACAGAGCAGGTCTGGAGATTGCTCTGAATATCTTTACAGTGAGGAAAGTAAAGTAGAACTGAAGGAGGATAAGAAAGAAACACCCGTACTCTCAGATGCCTCCCAGCTATCCAAGCTAAGTGATGATAAATATCACAGCCAAAGAGACATCCAAGAGGAAAGTGTAGACCAGAGGCAGACCTCAGATATCACTGCAAAACACAAGGAATCTTCTTCATCATCTTGCACATACACCACCTTAACATACTCTACGTCAACATACTCCTCCACATCGTATAGTTACTCATCCTCAGCCTCAACTTCTGCCCCTTTGAGCCAACACTTTGGAGACAAAGTTGAAACCTTCGCAACATTATCAAGCTCTGACATACCTCTAGTCAAAGAGGAGTCATCCTTCCCGAAAGCGTCTACAAGCTCCTGCTTTGGAGGATTTCAGAGAGATGAGTACATGGAGGTGACAACGAAACCTGCAACAAAAGTGTCTTTACTCAGTCAGTTTGAGGAGACCAAACCATCATCTCCAGTCCTGCCTCCCACTGCCAAACAGACTGAGGATCAAAGTGGCTCTGCAAAGCCCGAAACGGACACAAAGTCGAGCATTGATAGTTTTTATATGCTAGAAACAAAGATTACAACATCCACCACAGCACCATCTCTACAACAAACTGAACCCCTAAAGGTACCAGAGAGTTTATCCACATCAGAGGCTCACTTTGATGTCTCTCCTCTCCAAAGGGCTGACTCCTCTGACAGGGAGTCCCAAGGGTCAGCAGAAGACGAGGAGCCTGATACACTTGAACTGGAGGACAGCACCCTACCATGTCGTATTGAATGTCAAAAAATCAAAGTGACTGAGCAAAAAGAGACTTTTTCATCAATAACTGAGTCGTATGTGGTAGACAGTTCCACACATGCCACAGAGACAAAGACTGTCACCATCACCTCGACCACTGTTGTGTCTAAACCTGATGAGGTGTCACAAACAACTCAACAGACAGCCTCATTTACTCCACTGAGTGACAGTGGAGCTAGCAAAACCTCATGTGCCATAACAGACTTGTCCAAAACAGAAGAGGATAAAGAGAAGAAGGGGAAGAAAACCTCAGAGGCAAAAGAAGAAAAGACGAGTGGAGCTATCGCACCTTTGAAGGAAGATGGAAAGGTGGCAGAAAAAGAAACAAGTGAAAAAGATGAAAAGACAGAGATTGCTAAAAAAGACGCTGAAGTCAAGCAGAAAACAGAGGTAAAGAAACTAGAAGAAAAGACGTGTAAAGACAGCACAGACAAGAAGAAAGCTACAACTGGTCCAAAGACGTGTGAAAAAGCAGAAGATGGGAAGGGAAGAGAGGCGGAACGAGCCGAGGAGAAAAGCCTGTTGGATAAGCCACCAGAGAGATTAGAAAGTAGAAGGAAGAGCAGTATATCCGATTGGGAGCTACTGCAGAGGCCTGATGATTGCCCAAGTGCCCCTCCTCCGGGTTATGGTGATGATGATGATGATGATGAGGAAGAGGAGGCAATGGAAGCGATGGAATGGATGACCAGTGTCCACGGTACATCTGTGTCCTCTTCTACGGACACCTATCACACAGAAACATCGAGTAAAGGAGACATGAAGGCTGATCGTCCCTCTGACTTGAACACCGGTGCCACCTCCTCCTCTGCCTCGCCTCCAGGTTACTCCTCCTGCGAATATAAACATCGCAAAGGAGAACTTTCTCCGTCTTTCATCAACCCCAGTCCTCATCAGCTCTCAAGTGACGAGGGCGAAGACGACGGCCGCAGTGACCACTTCCAGGACGGAGATGAGGATGATCAGGAACAGCACTCTGTGAAAAGGAGGTCGCACAAGCAGAGGCACCACCATGCTCAGAGTTACCATGGAGATGCTGGGCAGGGGCCACACCAGCTGCCAGGGGCCATGTCATCTGGTTTGGCTGTGACGTTAGCTGGAGAGGAAACGCCTCCGACATCAGTGAGCGAGTCGTTGCCGTCACAGTCGGACTCTGACGTCCCCCCAGAAACCGAGGAGTGTCCGTCCATAACAGCTGAAGGAAATCTGGACTCAGATGAAGACGCTGAACATCTGCCAGTGGACAAATCTGCATTTGGAGCTGGAGGTGCCCACCATCCTCCATCACCTAGATCAGCACAGAGGACTCATGATCCCCTCCCCACCCCGATGAAGGACCCTCATCCTCATCCTCCCCACCCAGATGTGTGCATGGTGGATCCAGAGGCTCTTCTCAATGACCACAGCAGCACAGAGAAACTTCTCAAGAAGGAGCACAAGACCACCAAGGGCCTCAGAAAGGGCAAACCCAAGTCGTCCTCCCCTGCTCGTAAGGGAGAAGTCAGGAAGAGGTCCTCGACTCCAGTGAAGCAGACTAAGGACTCCGCCTCACCACGATCTGCCTCCCTCAGGAGGAAGGACACGGACAGAAGCTCCAGGCTGATCAAGATGTCTGAGACTCAAGGCTCCAGGAGTGAGATCCTCAATCCAGGGAAAGGCTTGGTCAATGGTGTCAAGAGCAGTTCAGGTGGGTAACATCCTGCGGACACAACATAACACTAACTTACTTTCAAAAATAATTCCTGGGCTGAGTGCTGCACACAACACAGCCAAAGTAAAGCTGACTGCACCTGTACCCCTTTTATTCTGGCATTTCCCAGGTTAAGTACAGTAACCTTCACCACCAGAATTACAAAAATTCTCTCTCTCTAAAAAAGAAAAAAACATTGAGATGATATCTCTCCATCATCGAAAGACCAGGCGTGATAGGGGGTTTAAATTGGACCATATCTGAAATGCCAATAAAATACTTGATATTGGATCTTTGTCAGAAGTAGATATTAAAATCCATAGATCCAAGAGAATTTAAGCCATTAGCCATGAAAAAATTAAAAGGCTAATTAAAAAACAGTTTTATGATATCATCAAATTGACTCGACTATGATTAAGCCTTTAAAATTACATTATAACAGGAAGTATTTTATTCAAGTAAGAGGAGAATATTTAGGAAAGTTGTTCATGTGCTGTTTGGTTGATAAAGTTTTTTTTCCCCAGAAACTGTTTGACTGAGAACTGCATTTCTCTCTGGATAATCAAAATCTCTTTGTTTATATATGATTATTAATGAGTTGATGCAATCATTTGAACAGCTTATTCTGAACTTTGGCTGTCAATGTGCAGCTGTCAAAAGACATGCAAAAGATTGTGTGCATTAAAAATTGTACAGTCAGGATGTCCAGTGATATACTGTACATTTAACAGCATAAGAAGCAGAGGCGCATTAGAACGGTGGATCTGCAACTGGAACTGCAATTGTAACTGTAATTCTATAAACGTCCAATAAAATATTATTGTACATTTGTTTTCAGAATAATTGACCTGAATAAATAAATGAGTGAATAGAATTTAATTTGCTCAGTTGAGGAGAAAGTTACAAAGGTTCTTTGCTACAGCAGCACAGTTGTACTAAATTGTGAGTAGTATTATTACACTCTAATGCCATTTTATGTCCTCGTTCACTTCCAGGTAACAACGCACAGAAAACAAGTTCAGCCGTCCCTCCTGGACCACCCGTCTATGTCGACCTGGCCTATGTGCCCAACCACTGCAGTGCCAAGAACGTGGATCAGGAGTTCTTCAAGAGAGTGCGAGCCGCGTACTACGTGGTGAGCGGGAACGACCCGGGCAGTGGAGAGCCCAGTCGTGGAGTACTAGACGCCCTGCTGGAGGGCAAAGCTCAGTGGGGCTCCAATTTACAGGTATTTATTTACCCTCTGTGTCGTCTCTACCTGCATTTCTCATGTTGTCTGCACACAGGTGTGTCTCACGTTCTCCACAAGTTTATGTCCACACTGTTTACAGACTAATGCAGAGGGTGTGCTCATACTCTTTGTTACACTACATTTTTATAAATGAAATAAAATAAATTTAGAGACAATCGGGAGTTTACTGACGCTGACAACAACTGATACATCTCATTGGCAGCAAGTAACTGAGGGCAAAACTGCTTTGTTAATTAGACAGTGGAGGGAAATTGTAACCAAACAGATGTCACAATCATGTCGATGACTGCTCCATATAATAGAGAAACTCAGAAGGCATTTCAAGTTTATCTATATAATACCATTCAGACACAAGGCAATTCAAAGTGCTTTACAAAGGCATGAAAATACATAAAAAATAAAACATTAAGATGACATTAAATTGCATTAAAAAAACAATAAAAACACACACAACACAAAAAATAATTTTACCTTGTGGACAGTCCAAAGCAGCAGAAGATCATGAGAGTTTTTACTCCTGCCTGTGAAGAGAAAGCAAGGAAACCTTAAGCGAGCACATTATGACCAAACTTAAAATGTGGAGGAAAGTAAAATATTCATCCTAAAGTTACGTGTGAAAGGTGGAAATTTTGGCAACAATCACAGTAAAATGTTGCAATCGTCATTTCTGGTGAGTGCTCAATGGCAGTGTTTGGCTACCCTGTTGAAATTCCCACACTATGCCAGTGAGTATACTGTGTACACAGTGTGCTACATGTGAGTGGACTGACTGAAGTATCCGATTTGAGACACAGCATCTGTTTTCAGTCTTTGTGCTAAGCTAAGCTAAGCTAAGCTAAGCAGCTGCTGGCTCCAGCTTTATAAGGTATGAACAGTGCAGACATGAGATCATCTAACTCTCAGCAGCAGAGTTGCCTGTTATCTTCATCACATATAGCCATATAGTCACTTTCTGTTGCGCTCCCCTCCTATTTCCCCCTCTCATTTTGTCTTTGTGCCCCATGTCAGGTGACTCTGATCCCGACCCACGACACAGAGGTGACCCGCGAGTGGTACCAACAGACCCACGAGAGGCAGCAGGACCTGAACATCATGGTTCTGGCCTCCAGCAGCACCGTAGTCATGCAGGACGAGTCCTTCCCTGCCTGCAAGATCGAGTTCTGAGCTTCATGAGCCCCACTGTGCTCCCCACCCCTCCCATCCTCCCCCTCCCTGTCATCTGCTCACAATGGAGATAGAGCGAGAGCAAACAGCACTCTCTGCTTCTTTTCAAGGCTTCTCGCTCTCTCGTGGTACCAGTCTCAGACACATTTGCTGCAGCCCTCAACTCACTAGATTCTGTTAGCTGAGATTAAAGTCAAACCTCTGGGTTCATGCTTTCTGTGACGACGGGGTTATCACGCAAGTAAAATCGTACTTTTATGTTTGTTTTCTCCTGTGAGTTAAATGTCTGCCCCAACACACTTCTTATATTAGCACTAACAGTTGTGGTAAAAATTCAAATATTCAATGACATAGTTGAAAGCTTTCTTTGCCTCATATCCTTCAGATAAACAGACATAATTATCCTAAAAATGCATAAATGCCACAGTTAAACTATAGATTAATAAGATGTAGCTCGTACATTTGTGGCTCAAATCACAATTAAATCAGAAATTAATTAATCTCAAATAATGAATCTCTCATCCAAAGTGCCAAAACATGAATTCTTATTAACTTCTCCAAAATGTCTACTACAATATCTCCAGCAATCAATATGTTCTTTATATTGTATGCACAGTGTTTTTAGAAGAGTAGAACTTTTTCTGTTTTTTAATTTGAAGCTTTCTTTTCCATCAGTGCGCACGACAAAACTCATCCTGCTCACACAACACTAGTGTTTGGATTAACTCGATAATGACATAAATTGATGTTATGTTTGAAAAAAAGAAAAAAGAAAAAAAAGAAAAAAAAGGAAAGCAACGTTCCTTCTTGTCATTTGTGGTGAAGTTTTAGGAGGTGCCTGAAGTTGCCACTCTTTGAAATTTTTCTTCTCGGCTTTCACAGCTTAGCTGGTGCATGACGCTTGTGTTTTAGCTCGGACTCTTTCAGAGAGAACTGCATAGGGTTAATCCTTAATTTAGCCAGCCTTTCAAGTGTGGAATGCAGCATAGTGTAGATAGGTTACTACACTGTTTGGCTGTCTATGCTCAAGTGAATTCAATAGGCGCCAGGCAAAGGGACGATGTTTCCACACTAATCATATCATATCTCTGCTGGATGTAATGGTTCTTCTTTAAGTCTTTCTCATGGTCTTTGTTGGTTGTATGTACTCCAGTATACATATAGGGTAAATGTTTCTATATCAATACAGAGGTTATGTTAAATAAATGATATATTTTGTGATGATGCAGCAAATTATGATTCTGAGGTGAATGCAGCGTTTGAGAAGGTTTAATTAATATTTCTGTCATTTCCTCCTGTTCAGCTACATTTTTACCGTCTCTGTCAACATCACAAAGCGATGGAAAAAAAACAAGCAGTGACCTGTGACAAATGTAGCAAAGGAAGTTCGTCTGTTCGTCCCCTTCAGAGGGAACAATACGCCAGTAGGAACTGCAATATTTATATGTAGTATTTGGGTTATTTTTCAGGAGAAAAAAAATATACATATGAAGTGTGTTACAGGAGGCTTCTTTCATGTGCCTTTAGCTTGTGGTTTTAGAGTGAGCCGGATATTTTAAGGGCGTTTTGAAGCAGAGCCAGAAACCAGGGTAAATCAAGTACACGACTTTGAAACAGAGGACCAATCAGTTCATACAGTACACACACACACAAACTGTATCCACAGCCGGGATACTCGCGGAACAGGACACTCACAACTTTGGAAAATAACTTTTGAGCCGTATAATCTAATTAAGCATTAACGCCACATTCTGAAAAGCCACTATGGAAAACCTCCAAACCAATATGAATGTCTTTAAGCAAGGTGTTGCACCAAATAGGAATGCACTTTTCTGAGATGGAAGAGGAGAGGTAAAGAGTCGGATGTTTGCTAGTTTGCAGTTGAGACACAGAGTTAGTGTAGCAGCAGAAAACAGCTTTTCACTGTAAAATAAAATAATGTACAAGCTGTTCCTCCAAACTGAGGGATGGCTAACTAATATTAATCCCAGAGTAATATTTACAGAATGAGCATGAATGTAATGATGATGATTGTACTGGACACAGATATAAAGTAGGAATGTTTTAGAGGTAGTTTTGCGTGTGAGTATACGATGACACTAAATAGCTGTTTTTATATCACAGCATGGTTCGTCCCTGTAGGTTACGTGGCGAGTGAGTTTTTTCTGTGGGTTCGGAGTGAAAGGTGTTTGTTTGTTCACAGCTAGACGCGAGAGTAGCTCATACGTATGCTCAAGTTAAATCTACACGGGGCCAAGTTTTATTTCTTCATCTATATCTAAATTTTTATAGAAGCAGATTTACATTTGCAATTAATTTTCTCCAAACTTGTGCTGAGAAGCAAACGCAAGTCTGATTATTGTTTTTTTTTTTTACATTTAATTTTGGCCTGAATAAGAAATAGATTTCTGCCGAGATGGCTCATTTTGTTTGATTTGTTTTTTTTGTTTTTTCTGGAGACAGATTTGAAGCTGGGGGCGGGCCAGGCTGGGTGAAGCAGGGCAGGCTTGGATTTCCAGAAAGGACTTTGTCTGAGCTATTGATGACAGATTGATTGTCGGGATGTTGCCAACTAAAAGCAGGGAGGATCCTCTGCTTGCACAGTTTAACTTCACCCAGTTCTTTACCTCAATCTGATTCAAAATATGGAAGAAGCTCCTTTAGAAAGCTAGAGCATTTTGTTAACTTCTGCTAGCCTGGGACCAGTGCCATTTTCTTCACCTGTAAAACTCACAATACTAGCACTACTTTATACCTCATCTTCCAAAGCCTCTGTGCTCTTTGCTCTGCCTGGCCTACCTTAAACTTTCAAATCAAAGATGATTGACTGATTTACAAGGTTGCCACTGAATTTGAGAATGAATCTTTTTTTTTTCTTTTGCATAATACGTGTCCATTATGCACTGTGTAAGCCTCGATATGCATCTCATTTCTTGTGATGTTTCGAGACAGACAGCTTTTTTAATCCCACTGAGGAGAATCTTAGTTTGATGCAGGTTGTATATTAAAAAGCTGGGTACGCACAAGTACACACACACACACATACACACACACACACACCCCCTAATCTGAAGGGAGTTGATTAACTGAAGGGCACGACGTGAAAGTTCAAAATGACTCCCTGTCTCAGTTCACACCTAAATGTTTGTGATGTGTCCTAAACAGGAAATAGGCTTTTTAACGTATGGATCAGATTCTGTGGATGCTGTGATGTGTTGTAGTGTCTTTGAATAATGTTTTTAAGTTGGCAGATTCCAAATACCCGGCCTTGAGATAATGATCAAGGCATTAGCAGAACGCTGTGAATCACTCAATACTGAACTGTATGACTTTACAGAAGCTGAATGCACTATACAGGAGATCTATTTTTCTGAATGTAGAGTTGGTACTACCACATGAATGCTGCTGGATCAAAACAATAGACAAAAAAATAAACAAAAACAAAACAAAAAAAACCATTCACATCAGCTTAGACAGAAATAAATTTTAAGGGAGCACAGAACGCAGGCAGATACTGTTTTCTGTTTTGGCAAATTGTCATTTCAATTATAGTTCTGTTCCGAATGAGGAGAAAAGTTTGATTTTTGAACTGAAATCCCATAAAGAAACACATTAAATGTAACACAGAAATAGTAATAACTGCAGCCGCAACTTTTTCCTTTTCCTGAATATGACTTGAAACACATGCAGACTCGAAAACCATCAATAAAATTAAACTACTGCTACATGTACACTTATGTACTGTGCACACGAGTGTACATACTTCTCTGGAAAGAACAAATCTGAAAGATATAACAAACTATCCTTCTTGTGATACCTGCGCATTTTAGCTGATTTTAGTGACAGTATGAACAAAGCCTATAACTGTTCCTCGAACCAAGAAAAATACACAAAGTGTTGACAAGATACAGAATGAAAAAAAGTGCATCTTTCAGTTTAATGTCATCGCCATATCTGCATTAAAATGAATCATCATTTGATCACAATATGGTGTCATCTGTCCATCTAATCTTTCTGCATGTGATTTATTTAGTTATAATCCTGAATGTAATTGTTTAACATAATAATAAAAAATACAATGCTATTTTAAAGAGGTATATTTGAAAAAAGCTAATTGTCTTAACTGGTACTGAAAAGACCTACAGTAATATAATACTGGGCTGTGCTTTTATTGTTTGCCCTATTAACATGTTGTTAAGAAGACGCTGTATTGGTAGTTCTGTTTGATTCTCTCTCTCTCTCTCTCTCTCTCTCTCTCTTTTATTTTTGCATTGTATTAATCTTAGTTATGTTTTTCTTCCTCAGCGCAATATTAAATATCTCTGTCTCTTTAAATCTAACTGGTTAAACTAGAACTACTGCAGATTCATTGTAAAAGGGAAACAGCCTGGTGATCATCAATTAAAGTACATTTAAATCTAAATGTGTTGTGGGTGTTTTTGTCTCTTTTGACCGATTACTTTATATATGGGTGTTAGGGAGTAACTAATTACATCCAAATTAGTTATTATGAATGTTAACACTATTACAGTAATCACATGAAAGATGAAATAGAAACTAATTTTTCATTTATTTCTAAGACTAAGAACCTGCAGGGACCACAGAGGTAATGAGGCCCCCGGTCCAGAGCCTCTGCATGAAGCGGTTGTTATTAATATTATTTATTAATATTGATTGTTTGAAAGTCAGAGCTCAGTTAGAAGATTCAGAACGACTCCAATAAGATGCGGATCAGAGACCTGAAACCACTACAAATAGATAAAAGGAACTATAAGAGATGCAAAATGAGAACAAAAAGCAACTACAGACTCAGAATGACAACGAACAGACTCAAGACAAGCACGAAGAGGAGCAAAATGACTCCAAGAGATTAAAATTAGAAAAAGTGCAGTCTATATGAAATGGAAAAAAGAAAAGCTGGGTTCACACACGCCTGTGAACATACCATTTGTTATCGATGCTCTTTTAGTGTGTGCGATCAGCGGGATCGTGTAGTTACATATACAGTAGTTTTAGAGGAATATTGTACTTTTGCCCAAATGTTATATATATTATAAACA